TCATGTAAGCTAGTAATTACATATATAAATAAGTAGAAATAAATAAAAGTAGATAAAAATAAGTTAATTCTATAGTATTTGGTATAAAAGCTTCCTAGAAGCTTCATAGATGCTGCTTTGACTTCATAAGTGTCTTTAATTGACTTTTTGGATTAGAAATATAGTCAACAAGTTGGCCATGTGCCACACATGTTGTTAGCTTAAAAACCAAGCTAACTATGTGGCCCATACGTAGAAAAACTTGCCTTGTAAGTCAAAGCATGTGTCCTACAAAGTCAATACATATTGGAGGTCCTATAAAATGTCGCCACGTAGCCCCTAATTAGATAGTATATATAGAGACAAGAGTAAAGCCTTCTTCATTCTTGTCAACTCCTTTCTTATTTTCAATCTAGTTTCAGGAATCATCATGTTTTCTAATCTTTGGCAATAGCTATTCTAGTTCAATATATTATCAGCTTTGAGTGATTTCTAAGTATTTTTGAAAAAACACAAGTGTGTATTGAGATTATCTTTCTTTGGAGTTCATGTCCTTGATACCACCATACATTGTTTAAATAAACCATCTACTCTTTGATGATGTAATTATTTTCTTATAATATCAAAATGAGTACTATTAATTCTAATCTTATGTTGTTCATATTTAGATAACTCATCCAAAAATTGATTAGAATTTAAAAAATTTATAATATAGTTTTACCAAGTAGGATGGGTGGAAATATTGAAAAGAGATTCATCTATTAAGCTCTCATCAATAGGAGTAGGGCTTAATTTTTCTTCTAATCTTGAAAGTTGATTGGCTTAGTTATATAATTTTTTAGGTTTGTATTCTACCTTATAATCAAATTTTCTTAATAATAATATCTATTGAATTATAAGACTACTCAAATCTACTTTTTTGACTAAATATTTGATATCCATATAATCAAAAAAAAATACCATAGAATTAAATAAAAGATAATTTCAAAATTTCTTCACAAAAAAGACCATGGCCAAATATTCTCTTTATATAATACTATAATTTTGCTCTGCCTCATTTAACTTCTTGCTAGCAAATGCAATAGGATAAACTTTATGCCCACCTTCTATTAGTTGGCATAATATATTATCTACTACTATATATAAAGCATCATAATATATATAGAAGCAAAGATCTCAATTAGTCAATTTTAAAATGAAGTAGGAGCTTAATGTCATTTTTATCCAATCAAAGGCGGCTTAATATTCTTTTGTTTATACAAACTTAATCAACTTTCTTTTGAGGTTAGTGATAGATAAAAATTTTGTGGCATAATTGGGAATTAATTCTCAATACCATCTAAGATGTCATAAGATCCTTTCTACCTCCTTAATATTTGTAAGAGATTATATTTTAATTATGACTTCTATTTTTTTTGAATTAGGTTTTCTTCCTTCTTTAAAAACCGTATAATTCAAAAAGATTCTTTTTTTTAATTTTAAAATATATTTTGTAGAGATTTAAAATAATTTTTATTTTTTTACACCTTTCTAAGGTTTCTTCTTATGTTCTAGATAGTCCTTGGTATTGAATTGGGTGCTAAAATTATCTATAAATATTGTCATAGATTTATATAACAAATCCAAAAAGGCAATGATCATGGCTTATGAAAAGGCAGAAGAGGCATTACAAAGTTCATATGATTTATCAAAAAAAAATGAAAGTACTCCAAAGAGTGATAAAAGCCATTTTATGGAAATCTGTTAACTGCCATGTCAGTTGAGTAGGATAAGTGGGTTGAAGAAGATGACCTCCGGGCCAGACTGTGATAGTCGTGAGCCAAGGTAAAGCTTGGAGCTACCCTTTTGTTTTCTTTGCTTTTGTGTTTTTCTTTAGTATTGGATTTAAGAAAAGGATTGTTGAAATTGTGATTGAGATATTGAAAATTATGAATTCGAATTAATTAATTTGGAGAAAGAAAGTGTGATTGTGATAATAGAGATTATTGCATTGTGTTAGTAGCACTGGAAGATTGAGTAAAAGTAAAGGAATTGAGAATTGAAGTACTGTGAAAAGAGATTAAGCATCCTGTAGATGTCAGGAATGTCAGTGATATTGAGTAGCTGCAGGGCAGTGAACGATTGTAGAGATTGTGAAGGGATTGAATTGAGATGAGGAAGAGAACTTTGGAAGTTTTAGATAATTAATACATAATCAATTGTGACATAACATATCCAATTCATACAACGAGTCTTTCCCCGAGATCAAACCCACCTATACTGATTAAATATCTTGGTGTTTTGAGTCCGAGTCAAACGACGATTACAGGCTTGTCTTCTCCGCAGTTGATCATGGCTTTTGAATCCTTCAACCATGGACTATCAAGCAATAAAAGAAAAGAATCCTTTCACATATGCATTTGAATGACATGATATGCCAAAGCATATTTTTTTCCTTTAATCTAAGTTTAAAAATTTTCAATTTGGCCTACTAGAAAAGATAGACTTTGATTTGACATCTTGATAACAAAGGAAGTTAGATTAGTAATTTTCAGTCCTAGTTTCTCCATGGATTAAAAGGCATGATATTTAAACCACTACCACCATCTATAATGGTATAGAAAATTATTTTTTTCACAATAGAAACCTCAATTTTTATTGCTTTTGCCTCACTTTATTTAATATAGTTATTTATTTTTTTCATTATCTTAATCTTAGGCTTTTTTTTGTTTTTCATGAGAATGTGGTATTTTAGTGCCTTTCTAATCAATGGAAAAATTTCCAATAATTGAGAAAAAATAATATTAGGCTGTAATTTACTAAGATCATCCCATAAATTATATTCTTATATGTTGGATTTTCCTACCTCGTATTATTGGAGAACTTCAAATGTTGGAATTTTGGAACCTTCAAAAACAAGGTTGTCCAGATTAACACTTAACTTGTGTTCAACCCTAAGATTTTGAAAAAAGAGTTCTTCTACCAAAGAATCAAATTTCATAGATTTAGCCATGTTATTTTGAGTTTTCTTAATTATATCCCTTGTAACTTGTTCTAAATCCAAGGTGGATTCTCCAAGGCATTACTTTCATCTTTTTAATGGACAAGTAAAGATGCGATCCTAGATTTAGTCATTACTACTAAGATTCATACCAAAAATAAGTTCTTTTTCTTTGATTGATTTTTTTTTAAAGGTTATTAAATTTAATTTGAAGAGAAAGACTTGATTGATACTAAATTGGGCAAAATTTTGAATAGGTTCCAACTCCTCTATAGGCTGAGATACAAATCTCACATCCTAAGACCCTTGACTATATCTTAGTTGATTAGAAAGATTTTGATTTTGATTAAGATTTAGTGGAATATATCAAGAACTAATTTGAAGTCTACTAAGTACATTTTGATTCTGTCTATTTTATTCATAGTCATAATATAAATTTGGAGGCCTTAGGTTATTATCTATTGGAGGTTGTCTTGCTTCCCTTCAATTATCAAATGACTATTGAAGATGATTTCTAGGTAGAAATTATTAAGAAACCACTCTATTTGATTTTCTATAAAATTCTATAGAATGGTTACTACCACAATTCTCCCACTTCTCTTGGTTTTCAATCCAGCATTGACCAAGTGGGTGTCTTTTTCCTCAAAATACATGAAATTCTACTTGTTGTCTTGCTTGATTCATTAAACCTTGGTTCCTAGAATTAAACCCTTGTTGTTCCAAATTATGGCCTTGAAAGATTTGATTTTTGTGCAAGGGGGGGAGGGGGCATATGGTTGAGAACATTGGTTTTGGTGATTGGATCAAACATCAATCTTGAGTATCTAAGTTTTGCAAGGTATGTAGATGGTTCCATAGGCGTGGATTCTTTGAGGTCATTCAATGTATCTTGCTGTGCCCAACAAAATGTTTATCACATATTCTTAGAAATGAAAGCGGGTGTCAAATCTAATGCAGCCATTTAGACATTTGAGAGAAAACTAAAAGGATTTGAGCACCAACATAGATATTCTACTGGTTCCTTCAGTAAAATCCATGTAGTGATTTTATTTTTTTATTATTTTTATTTTTATTACAAGAACATTGAGTTTGTGCTTTTATGAAACTATTCACGTTCACTGCTGATGTGATAACATTGCAAGACACTGCGAGATTTTATTACATCAGCAACAGTTTCCTGAAGCCGAGCTTTGCTTAATTCTCTTTCGTCATAACTTGTGATAAGTCCATGTGCAACTCACAGCATTCAAACAACTCAAACTAAAATAGAATAAAATAATTGATTTAACACCATTTAAACATCCATCAAAATCAACAGCAATGTTTCAAACAACTAAAATCACATTATAGAATCAGGTAACATTGCTTTCTATAATTTTTGTCTATTATCCCTGTCAGTTATGTCTTCAACATTCATTCTCAATCTGGCTCGTGTAGGAAAATGTGGAAACCACCGTTGTTAATATAATAATATGCCTATATTCATATATATATATATATACATACATGCAAATTGATGTTAATACGATATAATACACTGAAAAATGTGTGCGAAATGATACTATTATTGCACATCTATATATATATATATATATATATCTGTTATGTGTGTGTGACTGCGCAGATTGATGTTATATGTACACACATATACACACAGATTTCTATTTACACACACACATACATATATATATATATATATATACATATATATGTAACTATTTGATGGGTGTGCGGCATTGTGTGCCAGTTGCAGAGTCGGTGATCGGGTCGATCGTGGATCGATGAATACCGACACAAACATCAACATTGCTAACCGACACCTTATCACCGACACCTCAAAACCTTCAATAGGCTCAAGGCATCAGTTATAGTCAAGATTGAACAATCTCAGATCAGCACACATCCAAGCGATCATCGTCGGACCATGCTCATGACTGATCGATCGATGTATAGCGTCGGTGAGGAATTGTGTCATGAACGATGGAACTGTCGGTGACATCGATGTCAAAGTAGGGTGAGGATGTTGAAGCAAGACGGAGAATGGACGGTGTTACATAGCTCGCCTAAGTATAAAGAATCGTAACTTACAACAATTGGCCATTGTACAGTGTGGTAATAAGCACATGCGAGATTAAATCTAGGTGGAGGTATACTAATATCTCTCGATCGATCGATGGGTACTTGCCACCTTCTAACCCGAATCAAATGAAAGGAGCCATTCCACCGACGACGTGGGGCGCTACCAACCGTCTTGCCTCGCATTAAGCGGTGAGACTCTCGAACGATTGAATCAAAGAGGCTTTGAGGGGGGGTTGCGGGTTGGTGATTAGCAGATAAGTGAGTCTTAGTGGTGAATAATTCTCTGCAGTAAGCTTTTCCTCTTGGATGACGAGGGACTGATGCCCTCGGTCGAAGTGGTTCCATCTGGGTTCTGGTGCAGATGTGGCTCTCCCCCAGCCTCTCCGGAAATGCTTGCACGGACCGCTTTCTTTTCATCATCTGATGTTGAAGAGGATGATGAACTTTTCGAGCGGAGAAGAAACCTGCCACTGTGGGGCTTGGATTTGTGCTTGCGGTGCCTGCGGCTGAGAAGGTTAAAGTCTCCCGGGTTTACGAATTCTCCCACGGGCGCCTCAACATAGCTGCATCAGAACATAGAATCAGTCTAAGGTTAGATCCGAGGGGTTTCATAACCTGGGTGTGTGTGTGTGTTTGTGTGTGTGGGATGGATTGAATCGACAATTGCATTGCCGACAGCCGCAAACCACCTTCAGAGGCTTTCACACAGGAAAAAGCTGAGTTTGGTAGGTATGAGAATTGAAAGAGACTTACTTTCCAGTGGGTACTTCAACCATGCGCGTAACTGGAACCTCTCTCACTACCGGCACAATCACTCTCTCCTCCACAGCTTCAGTGATCACTCGGGGCACCATCTCGATTCTCGGTACTTCAATGTACTCCACAACTTGCACTATATCGGTCACCTCGCGCTCCTCTGTAACCACCCTGCAATTGCCAAACGATTGATCCAATCACTCCACAGTCGGCGGCTAGATAAATATCTACGCCACATCGATACAATGGTATTGTAGGTTACTGCAACAATATATATATATATATATATATATATATATACACACATACGTAAGCTACTGTAAGTGGTGATATAGGAGAACCTGAAGCATTAAGAATGTAAGAACGTCGGGAATTGATACCCTGACAATGCCGTTGTTTAGATCGATGGTTCCCGAGTTGTCTTGTAATCTCTAGGAAGTCTGAACGGCTTATGATTCCTCGAGATTGCACAGTATTTCAAGGACCATCGACCCAAACATCATACGCAACCACCGAGGCGTTTACACATGTGTTTACTTAAGTATGAAATACTCTTCATTTTGATACCATTAGTAGCTAGAAAGTTTGTAGTTGAAATTGAATTGTTCCTTTTAGTGTTTTTCTTATGACCCTTCATGTACTCTCTGAGCAATCTAGCACAGCATCGGTACATCGCAACTCGCTTTTACTAGTAGTCCCAGTTGGTAGATTGGTAGGCTAAACAAAACAATCCGAAGATTGCTTTAATGGCAACACTTAGGTGGATTCAGATTGCACAACACGTTGTATCATCGAGTGGGGATATTATAAATAAAAATTGATTGCAGACCATGACGGCAAAAAATAAGTTTTGGGTATGGATTTGTTTTCTCGCCTGTGGACAATCTCAATTCTAGTCTTGGGCACCTGTCGCACAACAGGGACGCGATCGATGTGCTCAACCTCGTCCATGACAACTCGCGTCTTCGGAACTCTGATGGTGCGATCCTCATGGTGGATCTCCTTCACGAAGTCCGTTTTCTCGATGGTTCGCATCTCAGGGTATCTCTGAATAATCGTCACCCTCGTCTCGAACTCCTTGGGCTGCGTTTGGATGTGAAAGCCAAACCATTGATTTTCGAGTAGGAATTGTTCGCAACAAAGCACGAGGGCATCGAATTCTAAAATCCAAGTCCGAAAACTAGTTGTTGCTTGAATCATTGGTAACTCTCTCATTTCACGATCGGGTTCTTACCAGATCTCGGATGTTGGGATTAGGACAATACACCTCGCCTTCATTTGTCACTTGACTCCGGGAGCGCAGGTGCGCTAATTCCTCCTCGGTGCGCCCGACGAATTCGCCATTGTTGTGGTGCCGAGGGTGGGTAGCGCCGGGCAAGAGAGACTGGGGTGCTACTCCAGGTCGTTCCACGCCACTGCGATCGACCACTTCGGGCGCTACCGCTGGACCAGTGACAGCGTGCTTCACAGCTTCAGCAGCATGATCGTCAGGGCCGTGCCCTACCACGCGTGGTCGTTCAGCCCGGTTCACTGCTGCTGTCTCCGAAGTACCTGGTTCCTGGAGCGTGGCCATTTCTGCTTCGAGGCTCAAACCACCAGACGCCTTTAAAAGACGGAGGATTTCCACTCTGGAGTCTACAAGAACAAGACGAGCAAGCATGTCAATACACACTAGAACCACCGTAAGAATGTTTGTTACACAAGGTTTTGTATTTCTTCCAGCAGGGAATGAACTCAAACCCCCCCAGCAAACAACCATTCAGCAAATCAAATTACATGTACGAATTGTTAAAATGGCTCTGCAGCTGTTGTAGGTGGCGATTAAGATGGTGAAATGCGATGAAACCCGGGCACGATTGATGTTCCCACCTCAGGATGCCGTGCTTCACTTCGACTACACTTTCGGAAAAAAATAACAATAATTGAAGAGTCATATATTTGTGCTCCCAGTAGGTCTGAGAGAATCTAGCCTACAGATTGAGGAATCTGTCGAAAGGGATCTTAAACTTCGAAATCTCTCACTGAATCCCTCTGAGGAGGATTTACGCGATTATCATACACAGCGAATAATTAGCTAATTCTAACCCTTGTGGGCTTAGGATCCAATGCCTTCACGGCAGGTTTGGAAATAGTTCCATAGGCAGCTCTCGCACACAAACGATGGTCCGGAATTTTTCAAAATGGGAAAACATGGTAACATGTGATGGCGGATCCGTCTCTGTGTAATCTGCTGTTGGTTGATTAGGCCCACCACAGCAAGAAGCGGCCATATTCATCGACAACGTCAGTTTATCTCTCTCTCTCTCTCGCTCTCTCTCTCGCTCTCTCTCTCGCAAAGGCAAATTACAACCAGGGTTAGAAGGAGCTGTCCAAATTCCAGTTGCAAAGACGTGCTATTTAGATGCTAGTGTCACGGAGGAGTAAGATTGCGAGCACCGTAACACAAATCCAAGGGAGGGTGTCCATCATGCAGGCAGAGTGTGCTCATGGTGTGCAGTATGAATAGGAGCAGGCACTATGACAATCCTCTATGTCTTTGTGGCATTTAAAGTACGAACATGGAGTCTGTGCGTTCCACCATCAACTCTAGGAGCTCTAGAGCTGCTCTATGCTGGAAACTCTCTTGGACAAGCAGCAAGAAACAGCAACCGAAAGAAAGGATCAAAATTATGACGCACTTTTTCCAAACAAGTTCTGAGCTGATAAAAATTTGCTGGTACTTGATTACCGCAACACGAATAGCATGACAAGGAAACTCAACTGGAGAAAGTGAGGAACTGAATACTAATCCTCTGAACAATAATAAAAAGAAAACCAATCACTCACTCGATCTGCGCGGGTGAAGGTCAGTCGATAAAACTCCGTACATAGAACTGAACACACCAAACTATGATATCTTGTGTATCTCCGAGGATCTCTTGCGAGGCTGAAATGAGCAATCCGCCCGGAAATTCGGAAACGAGTGGAGACTATGTCTGTCTCCTAGTGGAGAACGTTTCGCTGACGAAGTCTTACTAAACACGGTCAAAGGCCACGGGGTCGTCTTTAAATTACTGGACCGGTAGGATTTGGGTCGGCTTCGGTTGCTGCCTCTCCCACACATCCCCACACGGAGCTCCTGCGGATGAGAGCAGTAAATCTCGAATTAAAAAAACCATGATCAAACGACAAGGACCAAATCAGAGCTTGCTCTTGGATACCCTGCCACCCAGTAAAAAAAATTCGAACACTAGCCCAGATAGAACAGTGGGGAGACCAAACATCACTTTAGCTTACCCTAAACTGGGGTAAAGCTGTTTTGTGCTTTTAACCTGTTTGACGTGATTTGTTTGCAAACTAAAAGAGTTGACATCTTTGACACAGAGCATTCACTCGCAAGAAGTATATCGAATGTTGAGGAGAGGTGAACTCCAAATGACACCACTAGACGAAGTATTTATCTACTTTGGGTTGTATCTACAGACCGTGGGCTATGTCTACAGTTGTGCATAGATGATGCTTGATCCTCCGCATTGTGGACAACGAAACAAGCCTTTCATGCTCGTACACTTCGTGACGCAGCCAGTAGGTGAAGCTGGTTCAGTGGGACTCTGCCGTGACACAATTCTCGAAAGTGGATTACAGCTCACGATGTACGCAAACTGGACTCTTGTAGACCTCACACAAGGCAAATGTCCCTGAATGATCTAAAACAGTGCACATTCGATCCATTTTGCTGAAAGCTCATTCCATCCCGTAGCCACGTGCTCTTGTGACTGAATCAGAGCCGTCGAACCGACCATCAGGATGATTCAATTCCTCTATGGGCTTAACTTGTACCTTCATTTTTGTATTTTTTTTGTCTTCATATTTTAAACGGAACTGCATCGACGCTAATACTTGTTTGAAGTTGTAGCGTTTCTTTAAGGGATGGATCCTCGAAGGTAATTATATTGGTGCAGAACCGATATTGATCTCTCGGGTACGTATTGAGTATCTCGAGTTGATAACATTGATAAAAATATTCTCGAGGTCCACCATGTCTTGCAGTTTCAATGAAGAAGCAGTTCATCTTCTTCTCAAATAAACTTACCACTCCGAAGGAAATCTAGCTGGGAGCTTCTGCATTTTTAATACAAACTTCCAAATATTCCGTCTGATTTATGATCCTCAAAAAAAGCAAGTGTAAAATTCAAAAGTTCTCTCGGTAACGATCCGCGCTTCAGCTCATCCGCACCGGTCGAAAAGCAGTGATGAAGCCTTCAAAGCTGCTGGAAACATGAGTAAAGATTCTGGATGATGCACTTCAATGGCCCACATCCACATGCTCCAGTCCAAGAGACACGCATCCAGACCGAGCACTGAAGCACACAAGTTGTATTCTAATCTTGGTTACTCATACAAGTCCAGTATACATATTTTGCGATTTGTTCTCATCCCTCTCATTACACGTGATACAAGATATTTGCAACACCAATAAACACATATGTATACATATATATACTGGTTCATTTGAGAGATTTCCAGAAATAAAGGGGGGGGGGTTTTAGAAACATCCGAAAGAACACGCTGGCATGATCGAGTCCGCACACTTTTTCCCATTGAAAGCGTGGGCAAGTCATGGTCGAAGCCTTGATCCAGTCTGCCTGGTCCCAACACAGTGTCGCTCTTGCAAGCTGTATTCCAATACCCTTCCTTCCTTACAGACGAAAAGATATCCTATGATCATGTCTTATATTCCTTCAAGAGTCCTCCAATTCCAATTGAATACATATATATATATATATATATATATTTGTATGTATGTATATTCCTTGTCACGTCGTCGACAAACGACTGGACTTCGCATGAACTTTTTGACATCTATCACCTAGTCATAGACTTATGTGTGAAGCTTGTTTTCTGATGATCTTACTGAACTATTCAAGGTCTTTTGATTCTTCCCTTTTATTTATTTATTTATATGTATACATATGTATATATATGTTCAACATGGAGATAACGGTTGTCTCAAAAGGATCATGTGAATTTATGTGTCGGTGTTCTGTGTAGTGCTCCGTTTAATCAAACAAAAAAATTGAAGCAAATTAATAAAACGTGTTTTAAACAAAATATTCATTAAAAGCGTTTAAAACGCAGTGGCTGCTTTTATTGATTTTTATTTACCGACCAATTCGCCAAACAAAACGATATGAGAAATCTAAGCCTTTACCGTGGGCATCAGCTTCTGGGACAATATTCTAGGACACACTATCTTCGAACGATTTCAAATTTAAGCAGTTGCCAACAACGACGCAGTTCAAAACGCAACAATCCCTTCTCCAAACTATTTTTTAAACACTCAGGAACTGAAAATGAGCGACCCACATCCAACTTCACTGCAACATTTCATTCTTTGTTGGTTGTTCTTCTTGGAGAGTCTAATTAATTCTATCCGAGATCATTTATCTCGAAGTTCCTTGTGAAGGAACTGAAAGTTTTATTAGAATCAAGTCTATGTATTTAATTTTTTTAAATTGACTTTATTTATGATTATAATTAATTAAAAATAATTGAAAGCTTAATAAAATGTGATAACTTTGCAACAAAACATAAAAAAATAAAAAATAAACTTGGCATTTAATTGTAATATTTTATTATTATAAATTTCAAATATCTAATTTGATTTTTAAATAACAAAAAAAGTATAAAATCTAAATTTTCTTAATACCAAAATATAAAATAATTATTAAATTAAATTTTATACTATATAAAAACTTGCATTGTCCTCAATATAAAATGTGTGTATGTCTATTTCTCTCTCTCTCTCTCTCTCTCTCTATATATATATATATATATATATATATATAAACACATTATTGTTCATGCCAAAAAATTATAAATTTCTTTTAATGTATTTTGGTACAATTTTTTTTGTAGCATGTTTGATAATAAATTCTTGATATATATGGTAATTAGTGTATTATTTTATTTTTATTAAATTATTCAACATGCAATTTTTACAATCAATGAATTTTTTATTACATTAAACTATAATTTTTTTTCAAACAAATATATTTTAATAGTAATTTTAAAATTACTAATAAATCACTTAAATAAGTGTTTTTAGAATTAAAACATATAAAACTTTCAATAACATTACTGATAACCAATTGATTAAACAAGACAATTTTGTTTTCAAGAATGTATATTTTAAAAATATATTTAATGTAAAAATATTTAAACATATAGTTAAAGTAAAATTTAAATTTTTTACATAATACAATATATAAAATCCAAATTAATTATTATCATTGATATACTTTAAAAAATATAATAATAATTTAATATTAATTTTAAGAATTAAAAAAGCTTGACAAAAGATGACAATAAAAAATCATAGATCAAACATCTAATTTATATGCTTTTAAGGCATTCTTAATATAATTTAATTAAAAAATATATAAATCTACTAACATAAATTATAATAATTTAATCACAAATTTAGATATAACCTAAAAATTCAATTTTTATTAGATATTTTATTAAAAAATATAAAGAAATAAAAATTATATCATTAAAAATTTGTGGAATATTTCTAAAATATTTTTTAAAAAATATTTAGTTTATTTTTATTTAATATATATTTTTTACCTTATTTTATGTTGTTATTATATAGTATGTATATATATATATATATATATATATATATATATTATCATGAATTTAACTATAAAATACTTATTTAATTGAGATATTTTTCATCATTTGTTATAATTCTATTATACATTACTTTTTAATGTATTATTTAATGAATTTATACTAAAATATTTGAAATGCTTTTAAGTTACATAAAAGACTCCCTAATTTTTTTAAGTATAAAAATTGATAAAATTAATAATTCAAGTCTTTTATCCAACAAATTGTTTCTTTAAAATAATTATAAACTTAAAAAAAAAGCTTTGAATTAAAAAAATCATTAAGAAGATAAAAAACAACATAAAAATCTTTCACAATTGAAATAAAAATTATAAAATACGTTGTGTAGTAAAGAGTTATAAATCACAATACAACATTTATACATACTTTTATAAATCAATCAACACCGACTCCGACTACTCCCAGGGTTTAAAAATTTGGCTTGCTTCCTTTCTTGTCGGTATCAGTCGGATGGTGCAGTCGGTGTCCGTTAACAACAGGATTCGAGCACTATTGCATCATCGACATAAGTCTGATATTGCACGATCTTCGATGTTGTGTTTTTCTCCTCCTCGCACCAGGACTAGAGTTCGAGGAAGGGCAGTCGAAGAAGAAGAAGAAGAAGATTGAACTTGTTTGTAACTTGTATATTATGGAGCGAATGAGGCATCGATACCAGCTGGTGTCAGAAACTGAAAGGGAAGGAAGGAGGGGTGAGTGAGTGAGAGAGACTATTTATCATCAGACTGATCGATGATTTAACTCCTCTGTGAGCAGTTGGGATCCTTCATCACCAACTTGCAATAATATTAATAGTAATTATAATAATAACAATATTTCAGTCAGTCTCTATTCGTCTTCTTCCAGCTTTTGTTTGTACCCAGTCTGATCCTGTGTTATTTCAGTTCACAGCCCCAGCTTTACCTTTTCCTTTCCTTTTTTGCACACTATTCATATTTAAACAAGCATTCTATCTAACATTTCCACTAGGGTATTGAAGTGC